GATGTAACTGGAGGCGCGCAGCAAGTGCCCCCGTGGTGTCCCCCAGAGAGTCCTGAGCACTATGCCTGAGCAAGCCCCTCCCTCCACGAAACGTCACCCACGTGGAGGAACGCCTGGCAGACGCAACGAAGCGATTCAGCGTTGGCCCTCTGCCAGGCATTTTCTCAAAAATGAATGAAATGAGACTGTGACAACAAGGGAAACAGCTGCTACGATCTGTGGCCAATCGTTGAATGAGCTTTCAAGCAAAAATTAGAAGATTGGCAAACCAGCATCCATCACTGGGCTCAAAAGCTTCTGTACATTTAAGACTCTTCTGATGAGATTGGTGGTGACGGTAACAAATCTAAGTTTTTAGAGAGGTGTCAACACTGGCGACATCTGTCCAACTTGACAAACCATTACCTTACAAACAGCCAACGCATGGTGTTACAAGACCAGGTCAGGCAAGAGGGACAATGGGTTTTAATGTAATGGCGGAGGAAAAATTCACTGATGTCGTTTGATTCCACATTGCAACTAACCATTAAGGAACTACTTGTTGTCATGGTTTGGTGTAGTACCAAAGAAGAAAATCCATGGTTGGTCTAAAAAGTATTTTCTTCATATGCTTCAATCAAAACAACCTACCGCCCTGGCCGGTGGGGTGGGCTCAGTGGGCTGAGCGTTACCCTGCCAACGGAAAGGTCACCAGTTTGAATCCCGGTCAGGGCACAGGCCTGGGCTGGGGGCGGGGTCCCCAACTGGAGGCATGAGAGAGGCAAGTGATCAATGTTTCTCTCCCTCCCTTCCCCCCTCTCTCAAATAAGTCAAAAACAAAAAACAAACAAAAAACACCAAAAACCCCTATCACAAGAGATTGAGAATCTAGCATTTTCTATTACCCAACTATTAAAAAGATTCCGAAAACAATGCTACTCTACTCACTAAATTATTTCTGTTTTAGAAAATAGTTTTCATTGGAAAATGTACTACGGCTGTGCAGTTGTAGTCGGGTAATGACAGAACTCCCCCCCGACTCAGTAGTTCCGTCTCCCCGTGAACACGCAGGCGCACACAGCCGCAGACCCGGAAACCGCTCCCACACCGCACGGTCAAGCAGGGGCGTCGTGCGGCGAAGACGGCGCAGGAGCGACACTGACTCTCAAACGTAATGCCAAGCAAAACAAACGGGAGACAAATCAGCGCCACGGCACTGACACTCGCGGAAGGTTCCCACGAGCAGGAAACCGCGGACGGTCAGCGCGGTCCGCGCGCGGGACCAAGCGCGGGCGCCGGGGGAGAGCTGGGGGAGGGGCGCCCTGCGGGAAGGGCGAGGCCCGCCGGGCGCAGCGGGCACGTGGCTGCGGGCAGCGCCGCGCCTGGGGCGCGGGCGGGAGCACTGACCCCACTGAGACCAGCAGTCACAGTGACGATGGCCAATTTCACCATCGACGAGGGGCCTGCAAAAGAGACCAGGTCCAACCTGCCTCCCTGCGGACTGCACTGCACAAGACCTGCGGCCCCGCCACACCCAGGACTGCAAATGAGGGCGGGGGGAGGGGGGCGGGGGGGCTGCGCGGGCAGCCAGCAGCCCTTTAGAGGAAGGGGCCGCCCGTGCGGGTCTCGGTGTGGATGAAGGGGCGACGCACCGAGATCTAACCATTTCACGGTCTACTCGCCCAGCACAAGTTTCCAACACGTAAAGCAAAACCAGAAATGTCTGTGAGGAAAAAAGAGCAAACGCACCCACATAGTAGGAGACTGCAACTGACACTCCTCAGAGACCGAGAGACCGAGAGACGGAGGCACCCAAAGAGGGATTCACAAACACGAGTCACAGGGGAGGAGGAGCTCTCCAGCTGAACCCTGAGAAGACACCTGCAAGCTACAGAGAACATTCAGGAAGAACTTGACCATGTATTAGTGGAAATGACCACGGAAAGCAACCTCCAACTACAACAGCATTAAATTAAAAGTCAGTACAATTGAAGGTAATCCAAGAGCTCCGTGTCTGGGTTTTCACAAATACTCTAGACGATTCATGGCTGAACACAGGAATACTGAAAGTATGGGAACACTTAAAGTTAAGCCAATACAGCGAACATTTCAAAATCGAGAGCAGCAAGAAGAGGCCTCCAGCGCAGCGCAGAGAAGAGCAAAGCTGATGGGCGAGGAAGAACTCGGAAAGGCAGAGGGGTCGCCGGAGGGGACGCGGAGCCACCGCCTCCGCGGCCGCGGCCCCCAGGACCGGCCGAGACGCGGGCTCAGCGCCCGCGTGGGCCACCGGGCACCTGCAGGTGGACGGCAGTCCCCGCCCCCGCCCGGGCAGGCAGCCGGAGCGAGCTCAGGGTCCCGCGGGCGTGCCGGGCAGCTCCCTGACGCAGACGGCGCCCAGGCGCAGGCTCCCAGACACCAGCCAGCGGCCCTCAGAGGCGGCCCCGGCCCAGGAGAGCAGCCCCTCAGACAAGCGGCCCCCGCACGGCACGCGCCCCACTCTCTTGGGACAAGGCTCCGGGAGAGCCACGCCTCACTTCCTGACAGGCGCCGGCCGGGCGCCTTCCCCCAGAACAGAGCCGAGTCTCCGGAGCGGCGGACGAGAGACGAGCGGCGAGCTTGTACGGCAGTGCCGGTGACACAACCGTGGAAATGTGTCCAAAGTCACGGAACTGTATGCACTCAAAAGGGTGAACTCTACCACCTGTAAGTCATATCTCCCTCTAAAAAAAAAAAAGAAAAAAAGGCCAGCCCTGGCTGGTGTGGCTCAGTGGACTGAGCACTGGCCTGCAGATCGGGGCCGCCAGTTCGATTCCCAGGCAGGGCACAGGCCTGGGCTGCGGGCCAGGTCCCCAGTGGGGGGTCTGCAAGAGGCAACCAATCGTATTTCTCTCCATCTCTTTCTCCCTCCCTTCTTCCCTCTCTGAAAATAAATAAAATCTTTTAAGTTTAAAGAAGATTTTAAAAAAACTAATAAGGCCAGCAATTTTAACCAGCTTGAACAAAGAGACCAACTTTACCAAAGTATCAGAAGGGGACCAAAGCCTACACAGACAGGCCAACCTGATGCCTCTGTGGTCCCTGAGGCACCTTCTGCAGAGGAGGGAAGCCTCATCGGGTAATCGATCATCCAGGACAAACTGGGGTCAGGAAATGAGACTCCCCACGTGGCAAGGCACCCGTGAGAAACCGCAGGTACTGCCACTGGCCTCCCAAACCAGGACGAACGGCAGCGATCGCTTCCCAAAGTACAGTCAGCCTAACACAGGAGCAGGACTGGAACCAGGAAGAAAGGCAGCGAAGTTTAAGCAGCAACAAGACCACTTAGCTAGGGGCAGACTTCAGAAGGCCACCGAAGGTGATCAGGGAGCAAACCAGTGCCTGTGACACTACTCTCCCATTGAAAACAGGGGGAACCCTGGCCGGGTGGCTCAGTTGGTTGGAGCGTCGTCTCAAACACCAGAAGTTGCAGATTCGATCCCCGGTCAGGGCGCACACATGAACTGCAGGTTCAGTTCCTGGCTGGGGCACACACGGGGGGCGGGGGCCGGACTGATGAATGTTTCTCACATCCATGTCTGTCTCTCCTCCCCTTCCTCTTCTCTAAAGTCAATAGAAACATATCCTGAGGTGAGGATTAAAAAAATAATAATAATGGGGGAAAGGCCAAACACATAAGTGCACACAGAAAGGAAACAAAAGTAAAAGGGTGACAGCAAGAAGATCTGAGGGCGAAAACTGGGAGTCGGCCTGCCCGCCTTCTTGCTCCCTGACGGGCCGCTCCCACAGCCTAGCCCTTTCTTCGTCCCTCCGCTGGCGCCTCCATCAGTTCAGGCATGTCGGGCACCTACAACGTGCCAGGCTCGGCGCTGCCCCTGAGAAGGACGCCCTGCGCACAAAGGGCCGCCCCCTGGAGCGCACCAGCCAGCGAAGAGCAGGGACAGGACGGGGAAGCAGCGGCTGGAAGGCGGCACCACGGGGGGAAGAGCAGGACACGGGGCGTGAGGGGGAGGGTGGGCAAGGATCTGTTTCAGTTTTGAGGTTCAGCCATAAAGCGTTACCACAGTGTCGTGTGCTGCCTTCGAGGACACCCACCAACAGAAGTCGCTGCCTCAGTGGCAGGCAGCAGGGGACGGAGGAGGCCTGGGAAGGCCAAGCGGACGCACGTTGTGCAGCGGCAGGAGCCTCGCCACACCGTCCCGGGGACTAAAGCAGAAAGCAGCCCCAGGCCAGGAAATGGGCGTTACAAGGACCGCTGCTTGCCAGCTGAGGGCAAAGGAACTGGGGAGCCCTAGACTGAGGGGCTGCAAATGGCCACAAAAGCCAATGTCTCCTAAAACCCAAAGGGCAGATTTGAAAGCCCTTTCAGAGCCGGGGCCCACTGAGCCACAGTCTCGGCCAAAAATCAGACTGAGGGTGTGGCCTCCCACACAAGCCTGGGCTTCAGGAAAGCCCCGTGCAGCTGAGGATGACATCAAGGTAAAAAGGTAAAAACCGGACGGAGAATTGCATCTGGGACAGAATTTCAGGTGAGTTACCAGCACGAAGAACCATCTAAAACTAACCACGTGCAAAGCCGATACAGCTTTTCAACAAACTGCTTGACCAACGAAACCCGAGGCCAGGCTGAAAAGCACAGCCTCTGGGCTGTCCTGCCTGTGGGCGCCTGTGGGCGCCTCTGGGTCACACTGGAAGAAAACGAGTTCTTCGGCCGCACATTAAATACACTATGACACGTAATCACAGAAAAACCACAAGTTTTAAGTAAACTCACAATTTTGTGTTGGGCGACATTCGCGGGCCATGTGCTGGACGCCCCTGCGGCCTGCTCCCCGCGGCAGGGGCGACGGGGAAGGCCGGGAGGAAGGCCCCGCAGCGGGAGAGTGGGGCAGGGACCAGGAGGAGGCACAAGAGGGGGTTCTTCCCACAGAGCAGACCCAGGTCAGCCACCTCGCTGCCCAGTACACCCTGCAGCCCACGGACTCAGGGAGCCGGGTAGCAGGCGAGCCCGGCAGGGCACTCACCGCCGGCGGGTCCAGGCTGCCGTGCCGCTCTTCCTTCTCCACGGTCCGCCGGCAGTCCGGGCACACCCAGAGCGGCAGGTGCAGCACGCTGTTGCCCTTGGGAGCCATGGAAAGGGCCAATTTGCTCGCAGTCTTCATCCCGCTTTCGAGGAATGAAGAGTCTTTCCGCTCGCTTCTGCACAGAAGACAGTAATCCCCGGCAGGGTAGGGTGGAGTTCTATGATTCACGCCAAAGTTAAAAGGAGTCTAGAATAAAATAAAAAAATAAAATTTCTATTTTCAAAACATGATCCACAAAAGCAAGATCATTAAAAAAGATTGTATGTAGTTCTAAAATTACAACGTACATGAGTGCTTATAAAAACAAACAGTAAATAGGGAAATTGTTGAATAAAACTGTACCTACTGTCTAGAAACTCACCATACAGCAAATAAAATAGTAATGCAATAAAGAGCATCTTCGCAGGAGCTACCAACTGCCCTGCGAACCCTTCACCCAAACTCCTGGACCGACCCCTGCAGGTGTGACATGTTGGTCACATGTCGAGACCAGGAAGCAGCAGGATGCTTCGCCACTGACCCCAGACCTGTCTGCACAGGTGCTCGGCCCGAGGCAGCGCGCCCACAGGCCCCCCCGCCACCGGGGTGGGCTGTCAGAGCTCGGCCATGGGCAGCCACTCCCCCCACTCAACAGCAGTCACAGGGAAGTCACAGGGAAGGCCTTTCAAAAAGGTGCTACAACTACAGTGTGAGGGTGGGAGCCTCCAAGGTAGGAGGAAGAGGCAGGATTGTTACCCTGGACCCTCTCCAAAACATTATCAAGCACCCTAATAGGAAAGGGAAATCAGCCTTTAAAACACTCAAACAGGCTCCCGAGTGAAAGACAGGCATGACGTCACAAGTCTACGAGCAGAGGTCGAGATTTTCACCCGAATCAGGGTGAGCCCAACGCGCGTCGCCTGCACCTTAGAGGAGCCGTGCCGTAAACCCTGAAGAGAGGCCCGCGAGGCACACCTGAGAGACAGGTGTGCAGGGAGCCAGGTGTGAGCTCCCAGAGGCAGGCGCGTTCTGCCAAGGGCCCGAGCCCCAGCACAGGCGGGACTGCAGCGACAGCACCCGGGGCTCCTCTGGCTGGCAGCCAGGGGTTTCCCGTCACCGGCTCCTGCCAGAGGCCCCTCCAAGGCCCGCCCAGCTCCCCCTCAGCTCCCGTCCTTGTGCGCCGAGGCTCGCGCACGCCCGTGGTAGCCGTGCGGCTGGGCGTGTGAAACCACAGGTGCACACGGACACCACGGCACAGCCGCACACCGGGCTCCATGCAGAGCCAGCGTGGCCTGGGAGAGTAAATGAACCAATGAAAGCACCACTGGGACCAAGGGGAGACTTGTACGTGGATTTTTAACCTGCTTCTATAAACCAGCGATCAAAACCGGCTACATAGGTCACACCTGCACGTGTCACATCCACAGGATTCCAAGGGTCCAACCAAACCCAGCTCAGCAGCCACTCGAATGCCTGAGGGGTTGGGGAAAGAGCAGAGCACTATCTGCCGGTGGCGTTCGAGAAGGCTCCAGAGCGCTCCGCAACACCACAACACCACAGAAGTCACTGCGTTCTCTGTCCCAGCTGATCTGAGAAGTCTGAACTACAACCATCGCAAACAGCGTGCTGACTTAGCCCGTGGGGAAGCCGCCTCTTTTCCCTAGTCCTGGGGCACAGCCCCCACCACTCACAGAGCAGCCTGGTCTTCACCCCTTCCCGGCCGCCTGCTCCCCAGTGGAGAGGCCGGCCTCCAGGCTACAGAGGCCCCCACGCCAGGCAGTGTAAGAGCCAGAGCTGACTTGAGAGCCCAACCGAGCAGCCATGCACCTATCTGTCCGTATTGCCCCACCCCGGCAGATCCTGTCCTGGGGCGCCCATATCCTTGTCAAAGACCAAGACCGTAAATAAGACAGGGAAGTGAAAAGTACAGAATGCCAGACAGTGGTCGCTGAGGAGGCAAACCAAGAGCAGGACAGAATGCCAGGGGCTGGGGCTGGGGCTGGGGCTGGTGAGGGCTCCTCCAGGAGACACCGGACACCAGGGCGCCCCACGGGGCTGCAGGGGGGCCTTCCAGGAAACAGGCACAAAGGCCCTGGGGGCAGGAGGCCAGAGCAGGGGAGGTGCCGTGAGCCCGGAGGGGACCGGACTCCTGTTCTACCAGGCTGACAGGCTGTGTGCAGAGGAGGGATGAGATAAGACAGGAACGGAGCAAGAACAGGCGAGAAACCCTCTGCACCTTACGAGTGAGGTGGCCATGAGGTCGCTGCGATGGGAGAGCTGACAAGACCACTAGGGAACCAGAGGTCAAGGGTGGGGAGGGAGAGTAGGGCCGGACGTGTGGGAGGCTCCGAGGCGGGAGGGCCTCTCCCTGTGTCTGAAACCCACTAGATACCAGACCTGCCGAGAGGTAAGATGCAATGATGAGTCACAGGAGGGCCTGCTAGTTCCAGAGGGACAGCAGGCACAAACACAGACATGACAAGCTCACGTCCAGGGGCAGTAAGTCCCCTCCAGAAGAAAATACAGTTGCCAAGGTGGAAAGAGGGGCCACAAGAGGGCACCGTGTGACGAGCGCACTGCGAAGGGAAGACAACAAGCAGCCATGTGCGCCCCTGGCGGAGGGGTGCCAGGAGCCTGGGGGCGGCGGGCAGCACCAAGAGGCCGGGCAGTCTCTCGGAACGAGGTGGCAGGGTCCAATTCTCCCCTTAAAGAGAAACTCTGCGGAGGTAACCACGTACAAAAGGCTGCTCCAGGCGCTTCCAGGCACAGGCAGGAGGCACGGGGGGGCAGAGCAGCCAGGCTCGAGGGGTGTCCGAGGCAGAGCCACAGGACTTGCCGACGGGCCCAGGCGCCCGCGCACTCAGCTTGCCAGCAGGAGAGACGCCAGACGCAGGGTGGCAGGCGGGGCAGCGGCGAGAACTGAGGATGTGCTCTGGGCACCGCAGGTACGAAGTGGGTGTTAAACGTCCAAACAATGTGGGCTGCTGTTTCTGAGTGAGAAGCTCGGGGAGCAGGATGCAAGTGGATATATAGTTTGGGATCACTGGCACGTGTAGTCTGGAAAGCCACGGAGCTACGGAAGACAATGTCCTGAACGGAAGTCAAAGCTTCTTGACATTTGACCAACAAGCTCAAGTACACAGTTCGTTCTTCAAGGAGGTGAAACTCTACTCTCCATTCCTTCTTCAGACAAAACAAGAAAGAGGTTGCTACAAAACACACGTACACACACAACACCTGACTACGATTCAAATTAACCAAACACCAGTGCCCCACCAGGTGGCTGCTCTCCTGTGACTGAATGTGAGGCCCAAATATACATGCCATTGACTCTCATAAAAACACTGCACAGCTGGGCCGGAGCAGAACTGAGGTAGGATCAGCTGAAAAGATCTGCGCTGCGCACCTTGGGCAATGCTGATGCGTATGCGCACCTGTGAAACCATCCCGGTAATCGAGATGATGAACACTGCCATCGCCCCAGGTCCGCCTGGGCCCCTTTGGGCTCCGTTTCTCCCCACTCCCTGCCCCTCAGCCCAACCCCAGTCACTGGCGGCCGCTGGACAGAATTCGGTCTCTAGAGGCTGATTTGCAACTTCCAGAGCTCGCTCTGTTGACAAGTGGCCTCGCGCAACGCGCTGCCTTCTGCCTGGCCTCTTTCACAGCGCGGCGTTCGCTGCGGAGAGATGACCCCCACGGACATACACGCTAGGAACATGCTCCTTTTTGCTACCGAGCAACATCGCAAGGTATGGGTGAGCTGCAACCTGCCTGTGCAGTCGCCCATTTGGAGACACTCTGTTGCTTCCAGTTTGGGGCTACTACAGAGAACAGCCGCTGTGAACGTGCACACGTGACTCTTGGTGTGGATGTGTGCTTCTGCTGCTCTTGCATAAACACCAAGGAACAGGGTGACTGGGTCATGCGGTAGGTGCATGTCTAACATTAGAGAAATTTCCAGACTTCTCCCAAAGAGCGTGGCCGGAAAGTTCCGGTGAGCTGCACCCTTTGGCACGCTGTGACAGAGCCACGGTGACGAGAGGGTGGTGACTGGCCCGCTGTGCCCTTCCCTAACGACTGATGGTGGTAAACAGCCTTTCACAGGCTTCAACAATTTCTGTTCAACTGTTTGGGCTGCCTCAGGTTTATCAATTTTATAATGTTAAAAGAATGAGCTTTGTTTTCATGAATTTTCCATATTTAAAATAGTTTTTCATTAATGCTTGCTTTTATGTTATTTCCTTTCCTTGGGTGTATATAACTGGCCCTTTGGTCTTCTAGGTTCTTAAGGTGGAAGCAGAGGTCACTGACCCCTTTTTCTTGCATAAAGAGGTGGTTGGTGCTACAAATTTCCCTCTAAGTGTTGCTTTGGCTGCTTTTTACAAATTTTGATATGTTGTGTTTTCATTTTCATTCAGTTCAAAGTTTTTCCTTATTTCCCCTTGATTTCTTCTTTGACTCATGGGTTGTTTAAAGTATGGTTTAGTTTCCTAGTATTTATAGTTTTCTAAGTATTTTTGTTACTCATTTCTAATATAATTCCATTGTTGTCAAAGAAAGATACTTTGCACAATTTTAATTCTTCCAAATCCATCAGCCTTTTTTATGGCTCAGAATGTGAGCTGTTTGGTAGACATTCAACACTTACGGTAAGGAACGGGTGTCTGTCTGCCCAGCCTCACAGCACGGCAGCACGGCCCTGTTTCCCTTCCCCAGGCCTTGGCTTCCTCACCCAAAAGCACCTGCCTCGCAGGCCTGCAGCTCCGGTCCCGAGGGATGGAGAGCAGCCGGTCGCACACAGGATCGCCGACGTCTGCCCTGGGGGACTGAACGTCACCTGACTGCAGGCTGTAAGACTGACCTTTAAAAACACATCGCCTCCGCACTATGTTCTCAGGATCTCAAGATACATTTTTCCAATTGCTCGCTCTGTTCTTGGAGTTAAGATACATCTTCCTTTTCACGATACTGAACTTATGTTTTAGAGTTGTAACCAAAATTAAGTGAGAAGAGATTAGGTTGCCTTGAGCTGGAAGCCCTAGAAGTCCCCCGAGAGAGGTGCCACAGGGGTCTTGGCATCAAGTAGGCCTCCTCACACCCATGCCTGGAAGCTCTGGGCCAGGTCCTGCTGAAGAACACTTGTGAGGCTGCAAAACAAGCTGCCTCATGATCTTCTGGCTGGAAGTGTCTGTTCTACCCTGACGGCG